ATCGCAGCCAAGAACTCTCTGGAGTCATATGCCTTCAACATGAAGAGTACAGTGGAGGATGAGAATGTTAAAAATAAGATCAGTGAGGGAGATAGGAAGGAAGTAATTGAGCAGTGTAACCAGGCCATATCCTGGCTGGACAGGAATCAGATGGCGGACAAGGAGGAGTTTGAGCACAAGCAGAAAGAGCTGGAAAACCTCTGTCGGCCAATCATTTCCAACCTGTACCAAGGAGGGGCAGGACCAACAGGGGGATCTTGCAGAACCCAAGCTGGAAATGCCACTTCCACAGGACCAACCGTGGAGGAGGTGGATTAAAAAACAGAGGAACCTTACTTTAAAGACTTGAGTTAAATGTTACATGGATGGTTACACTACTCATCTATCTTGTGCTATGTATCGCATTGACATTATTCCACTTTTACCTCATGAGACTTTGATGTCAGTTGGATGGAAGGAAATATTATTCATGGCAGTATAATGCAGTTTGCTTCAGCTCCTAAGTTGCACTGCCACTAAGTTGTTTGATCCATGCTGTTCTGATTTTTTTTTTAATGTAAAACTGTTGTTTGTATGGTATGAGATATCTTTGAAGTGAACTCCAAAACTCGAACGCTTTCAATAAACTTTTGGTTAAAATTCTTTCTCCTGCTTCTTTCTGTTGAATTAGATTTTAGCTGCACTGATGAATAACACAACAGTTCCCAAGGAATTATACTCAGATGTGAAGTGGTCAGCCATTTCTTAGCAATGCCACAAAGCGGATATTCAAGATAAAACTAGTTCCATTTGCCAGCACTTGGCCCTTATTCCTCTAAACTTTTCCTATTTGTATACCCATTCAGATGCCTTTTAAATGTAGTAACTGTACCAGCCTTTGCTCCTTCCTCTGGCAGCTCATTTAATACATGCATTACCCTCTGGAAAAAGTTTCCATTTAGGTCCCTTTTAAATCTTTTCCCCTCTCACTTTTAAATGTATGTGCTCTAGTTTTGGACGACCCTGGTAAGGAGACTTTGGCGATTCACCTTATCTGTGCCCCTCATGATGTGATAAACTTCTCCAAGGTTACCCTGCAACTCCTGATGCTCCAGGGGAAGATAGGTGCAGCCTGTTCAACCCCTCCCTATAGCTCAAACCCTCCAATCCTGGCAACATTCTTGTAAACCATTTCTGCGCCCTTTTTGTTTAACAATATCTTCCTATAGCAGGGAGGCCAGAATTAAATGCTGTATTCCAAACTAGCATAACCCATGTCCTGTACAGCTGCAACATCTATATTCAATTCACCAACTCTGCTCCTATGATGCTGCTTGGTCTGCTGTGTTCATCCAGCCCTGCACCTTGTTGTCTTGGATTCACCAGCATCTGCAGTTCCAACTATCTCAGGGCAAGTGTACCAACAGCTCCTTCAGTACTGTCTACCTGTGACTCCACTTTCCTTCTGCAAACTTACTTACCATTCCGCCTATATTCAAATCCAGAGTATTTAAATAAATTTCAAAAAGCAGTTGATACAGCACCGATCCCTGCAGCACACAGCTGGTCACAGGCTTCCAGTTCAAAAACAACCCTCCACCATCAGCTTCTGTCTCCTACCTTCAGCCAACTTTGTATCCAGATGGCTAGCTCTCCCTTGATACCATGTGATCTAACCTTGGTAACAGGTCTACCATGTCGAACCTTGTTGAATTCTATATAGATGATGTTTAATGCTCTGCCTTCATCGATCCTCCTTGTCACGTCTTCAAAAAAACCAAGTTAGAGAGAAATGGTTTCTTACGTACAAATGCATCTTGACAATCACAAATCAGTTCCTGCCTTTCCAAATACATGGTAAATCCTTGTCTTCAGAATCCATTCCAACAACTTACCCACCAGTGACGCAGCCTCACCCAGTCTATAGCTCCCTGGCTTTTCCTTACAACCTTTCTGAAATAATGGCACAACATTAGCCACCCTCCAGTCTTCCGGCACCTCTGCCATGGCTATCAATGATAAAAATATCTCAGCAAGGAACCCAGGAATCACTTAATAAAAACCAAAAGAACTGCGGATGCTGTAAATCAGGAACAAAAACAAAGTTGCTGGAAAAGCTCAGCAGGTCTGGCAGCATCTGTGGAGGAGAGGAAGTTCTGAGGGTCACCGGACCCGAAACGTTAACTGTTTTCTCCTCCACAGATGCTGCCAGCCCTGCTGAGCTTTTCCAGCAACTTTGTTTTTGACCCAGGAATCACTTGCCTAGTTTTGGGAGACACCTGTTCAGGTCCTGGGTATTTATCTACGTTTATGCATTTTAAGATGTCCAGCATCTCCTCCTTTTAATATGGACTTTTCAAGATATCACTGTTTAATTCTCCAAGTTCTCTAGCTTCTATATCTTTCTCCACAGTAAATACAGATGTGAAATTAGTATCTCACTCATCTCCTGCAGTTCCATACATAGATGGCCTTGTTGATCTTCACTTAAAATCAATGGAGAAATGCTCCGAAATGTGGAATATTTAATCGATTTGGGAAGTTAGCTCCCATCTATGGGAGTAGTATGAAGCAAAATTTGAGCAGGAGTCATTTCAGATGATATCAAGGCAGAGTGCCGAACCTGTATGTTTACAGTAGAGTTTAGGTTTTCTATAAGGAGATGTAGGTGCAGAGATCCAACAAGTAAAAACCTTTCTAGGAGCAAATTATTGCAGATGCTGGAATCTGTACTGAAAACAACAAATGCTGGAGATCACAGCAGGTCAGGCAGCATCCATGGAGAGAGGGCAAGATAATGTTTCAAGTTTAGATGACTCTTCATCTAAAGCTGAAGTGTGTAGGGGGCAACATTTAATCTATAGTTGGGGGGGATGTGGGGGTGGTGAGGTGCAGGTGCAGAAAAGATTTTGATAGTCCTGTTTAAGTGATTAGCAGTAAGAATAGCAAAACAATGGTGTGTCTAGCTGCCAGACTTGAAAGAGCAGACAGTCCCACTGGGGTGGGGGGAGGGGATTCAGGACATGATAACAGAGAATGTAAGAAGTAAAGCTAAAAGGAAGGGAAGAAATTGGAGAATGCAACGAGTAAAGCTAAAAGAAAGGGAAGAAATGGGAGAATGTAACAAGTAAAGCTAAAAGAAAGGGAAGAAATGTCTTGTCAGTTCTCGGCTTGCTGCAGTGTTCCAGTGAATCACAGCACAGACTAGAGGAACAACATCTCATCTTCAGACTAGGCACTTCACAGCCTTCTTGATTTAACATTGAGTTCAACACCACCAAATTATGAACCAACTCCCATTTCTTCCCTTTCTTTTAGCTTTACTTGTTACATTCTCTGTCACCCTGTCCTCTCTCCCCTCCCCCCACGCAAGTGGGACTGTCTGCTCTTTCAAGTCTGGCAGGTAGACACACCATTATTCTGCCATTCTCACATTCCATTTTCCTACTATCTCTAAAAGAACAATCAACATGCTTTCTCCACAGCACCCTACACCTCATCACATCCACACCCCCACCAACTATATGATACTGTTGCCCCCTCCAGACTTGACTTTAATGACTACCACCCAATAGCTCTGACTTCAATAATCATGAAGTGCTTCAAGAGGCTAGTCATGGCCTACATCGACTCCAGTCTCCCAACTTGCCTCGATTCCCGACAGCTTGCCTACCAACATAACAGGGCCACAGAGGATGCCATATCACTAGCCCTGCACTCTTCCCTGGAACATCTGGGCAGCAAAGAAACCTACGTCAGACACCTGCTCATCTACTACAACTCCGCCTTCAACACCATTATCTCCTCCAAACCACTCTGCCCACCGTCGATGCCGCTCTGCCCCCACAGCCAGCAGCTCTACAGTAAACACCAGCCCCCAGCCCTGCCGGGTCTTCACCATCTTCCCAGACTTCCCCCTCACTGAGAACGAACTGTCAGTCCTCAGTAAAGGACTCAGGTTTTCCCCCGCAACAACCCGAACGTTAATGAATACCGCTCACGCTGGGACATCGAACAGTTTTTCCGCCGCCTCCGCGCTTATTTCTTTAATCGCGAGTCTAACCCCCCCCCATATTGACTTCTTCTCCTGCCTCCAACACACCCCATCCTCCTGAACACCACCCCAAGGCCTCCTACCCTCCCTCGACCTCTTCATCTCCGACTGCTGTTGTGACATCAATCACCTCAACCTCTTCACCCCTCTCACCCACTCCAACCTCTCCCCCACAGAACGTGCAGCCCTCCGCTCCAACACTAACTTCACTATAAAACCCGCGGATAAGGGAGGCGCAGTTGTGGTATGGCGCACTGACCTCGACATCACTGAGGCCAGGCGCCAACTCTCTGACACCTCCTCCTACCACCCCCTTGATCATGACCCCACCCGTGACCACGAAAACATCATCTCCCAGACCATCCACAACCTCATCACCTCAGGTGACCTCCCACCCACAGCCTCCAACCTCATCGTTCCCCAACCCCGCACTGCCTGTTTCTATCTCCTTCCCAAAATCCATAAACCTTACTGCCCTGGTTGACCCATTGTCTCTGCCTACTCCTGCCCCACAGAACCTATCTCCACTTATCTTGACTCCATTTTCTCCCCCCGGTTCAGGAACTCCCCACCTATGTCCATGACACCATCCACGCCCTCCACCTCCTCCAAAACTTCCGATTCCCTGGCCCTCAACACCTCATCTCCACCATGGATGTCCAGTCCCTATATACTTGCATTCCCCATGCAGATGGCCTAAAAGCCCTCCGCTTCTTCCTCTCCCGCAGGCCCGACCAGTCCCCCTCCACCAACACCCTTATCCGCCTAACTGAACTCGTCCTTATCCTTAACAACTTCTCCTTCAACTCTTCCCACTTCCTACAGATGAAAGGGGTGGCCGTGGGTACCTGCATGGGCCCAAGCTATGTCTGCCTCTTTGTAGGATACGTGGAACAGTCCCTCTTCCGCAGCTACACTGGCACTATCCCCCACCTCTTCCTCCACTACATCGATGACTGTATCGGTGCCGCCTCGTGCTCCCATGAGGAGCTCGAACAGTTCATTCACTTTACTAACACCTTCTAGCCCAACCTTATGTTCACCTGGACCATCTCTGATACCTCTCTCTCCATCCTGGACCTCTGTCTCCATCTCTGGTAACCACCTGGAAACTGATTTCTGAAGAAGGGTCCAGACCCGAAATGTCAGCTTTCCTGCTCCTCTGATGCTGCCTGGCCTGCTATGTTCATCCAGCTCCACGCCTTGTTATCTCAGACTCCAGCATCGGCAATTCCGACTATCTCAAAACTGTGTGGCCTTGGTCTCCGCTCTGCCC